AATTAATCTCCGACTGTGTTTGAGAAAATAAGAATATAGCAGTGAGTGATATATGTTATATTCGTTAATGTAATAATAACATCAATACAAATGAAAGTCCTTGCATTTTTGCACTTTTAAATTTTAAATTTATATGCATGTATAGGGTGATGATACAAATGACTCTCTTAAAACCAGTTTCCAACTTGTAAAGATGAAATAAAAAAGTAGATAATATACCAATAGATACATGAAATACAAACTAAAATATGAATTCAGCATTTCATATTTCAAAACTAGCCAAAGCAAATTAATGACAATTTTTTGAAAAAAAAATAATATAACAAAACATAAACCAGTTTCAACTGATCTAAGTTTTTGAAAATGTAAATAATATCCGGTACCACGGGGGAGAATCACGCCGTTCGTTACCTTAACAAACAATATGGCGGGTGTAGCCAAAAAGTAGGGTTTTCCCTTTTTTCTCTGAAAATCGTGATGTTCTAATGTAAAGGTACATATAATAACATTCTCCACAATTTTCCTGGCACTCATGATTTTATTTCATGATATTTCTTCCCGTACTTCTTCTGAAATGCGCGTCACCAGATTCGAAGCGAGATAATTTTCCACCGGTTTGGTCGTGGTAACGTACGGCTTCTTCTCTAAAATTCACTGTTTCGTTTATGTATATTAACTGAAACCACTGACTGAAAAAAATGTAATATGTCGTCATCTAAGCATTCATGCCCATTCTGTCTAGAATAACCGCTGAAAATATTAATATCGTGGCATTTTCCGGAAATGATAACAATATCAATGATAACGTACGGCGCCTTTTTTTCTGATTAATTGATTTTCTATATAATAGGAAAGTTACGTATACCAGACATAAGAGGATGTGTAGAACCAAATAAGTAATATTAGTGTCCAGCTCTATTTGTCATCCAATGTTAACGCTGTATTTCTTAAAAATTCTTTGTGTAGAGTTTCAAAGAAGAACAAAAGTCGATGATATATCAAAAGTCTGTTCATATCAGCCTTCTATTTTTTATAGTGCTTCATAGAGCGTTCGTAAAAATGGACATACCTGTATTGTGTCGAAATTATTAATGAAGCCAAATAAAGCTTGACACTAAGTATGTTTGTATTCATCCGTAGCTGTTCTACAGAAATAAGAAATATTCTCCCCGTCGAAGTTTCTAATTTCTGTAGAACAGCATGGTTGAACACTAACATATACTTCGTAAATACCATTTTAATTGTAGCGTAATAATTTTTACAACCGTTCTTTCATAAAGATAATGACGTCATCTGAGCGCATGAGCGGTCTGCCATTAAAGGTTTCAGACGGGTTTTCCGGCCTCGATAAAAACATCTACATCTAAATCCGATTTGAAACTTTATATTTCATAGTCGGTAAAATGTTTACCACTAGAAATTAATAAGCAAATTCCAATGTCACTATTTTATTGCTGATACCTGCAATACTTTTTTAAAGAAATTATTGTTTTTGTTTGGGCGTTTGTGGAAAAAACGCCAGAATATGATAGGCAAATTATTGCATCTAAATGTTTTGATCAAATCATGACGTTCCTTTCATTTACAATTATGAAATGCGCAATTGATACGAAGGGAACTTCAATTTATTAGGATATGTGTATGAACATATGGTAATTACGTTTATGTATTAAAAATCAATCAATATAAAACAATTTTGCATTAATGGTTCATGTAACATATGTTTTTGTATGAATATACATTATGTATGTGTATATGTATATACAAGAGACCTAAAAGTTAGTGGTTTTAAGATCAATTTTGATATGAAAATGTTCATTATGTAACTACTTAAGAAAATTTCGGCTGGTATTGATTTTAACCTTTTTCCCTCATATAGACGTGTTTTGAGGGCTTTTTGCCCCCCCCCTTTTTTTGAGGCCTCAAACAGTGAAAAATGCCCTATTTAGGCCCCAAACACAGTTTTTTTAGAAATGTTGTTAAAAAAGTGACAACTTTTTCGGCGCCGCCCCCATCAAAATGGTACATCAGGGGGTTGCCAGAAGGGGGATGTGCCCCCTTCTGTTTGGGGGGCTTGAAGGGGGCGGTAGTCCCCCTCATCGCAAAGAAAATTGTGCACATGTGACATGCTAAAAATGGCCTCCGACGGTAACTAGTATCTAGTAACCTACGCTGAAAAGCCTTTTACTCTATCTCAATTCATTGAGAAGTTGCAGCACATTGAAATCAGTTTTGATGGAAAAAAAACTACAAAAATGTATGCAAAATAGTGAATTTTGGCAATTTTGAGACGTCTCCCCGTTGCCATGGTAACAGGAAATTTACGATTGTGCATGCTGTTACAGAGGCTAACATTTGTGCCAAATTTCATCAGTATTGAATCATTTTTTCATAGTTTCAAAACTATTCAGAACTTGTAACAGGAGGCTTTTAAATGAAAAGGGCCATTTTTTCACAATATGCTCATGGGGTAAAAGGTTAACAATCAAAATTGATCTTCTCCAAACTTTTCATGATTTTTGATATTATGTATATATGTTTATGTCATACACTGTTCGTTATTGTGCAAGTTTCATGTCCTCATCGGTTTTAAAACCTATTGGAATAAAATAAAATGTCTACTGTCTACTATAATAAAAAAAACTGTAAGGCTATGACGCGCAAATATATCTGACGTGTGGCACAACGTCACGCTAAATGGTAGCGTTTCAATATTAACCGCCCGTCCAATAAACAGGAAATTTCTTATTTACTCAATTTTGACATTATTTTTTAACTCATTCAATAAATTCAATATAGAACCTACACTCATTAATTTATCTCTGCTTTGTATTTTTCTTTCAATGAGAGATCAGCTCATCTCATCTGGGTGTAAGCTAGTCGCAATCACTTTTTTATGTTTCAAAGATTTCCTTAACAGAAATTTGTTAGGAATGATTTTAGACTTATTCTTTGGAAAAGAAAATATATCAAGCCGTCCGTACCTTTTTAACATTTCTGCTCTGCTGAATGCGTTTCTTCTTTCTGATAAAGGGATAAGACCATAATTATTGCATAACACTGGCGAAATTTAATTTGAAGACAACAATACACAAATGTTAACTGAAAATGAAGGCTTTCCTTTCCATTCTGCATTTTATACAAACATAATTTCAAATATCTATCATTTCCTACCTACAAATAATTCATTATCAGCTGACTGGACAAATGGAAATCCACCAATAGAAAAATGCGCCGTACGTTATCATTGATTTTTTGTGCGCCATACGTTATCATTTCCGGAAAATGCCCCGATATAAATATTTACAGCGGTAAATTCAGCCAGAATTGACATGGATGCCTACTTGACAACATATTATAATTTTAAAAGTCAGTGGTTTCAGTTAATATGCATATATGTAAATGAAACAGTGAATTTGAGAGAAGAAGCCGTGCGTTATCACGATCAAACCGGTGGAAAATTCTCTCGCTTCGAATCTGGTGACGCGCATTTCAGATGAAGTACGGGACGAAACATCATGAAATAAAATCATGTGTGCCAGGAAAATTGTGTTGAAGGTTATTATATGTATCTTTACACTAGAACATCCCTAATTTCAGAGAAAAAAAGGGAAAACCCTACTTTTTGGCTGCATCCGCCATTTTGTTTGTTTGGGTAACGAACGGCGTGATTCTCCCCCTTGGGTACAAAACACAAGAAAATATACGAAGAACAAGAATCTAAAACTTATATAGCCCTGGCTAAAATGTATCTTAATTTGTAAAAAAGATGATTGAGTCGAATCCAGTCATATTCTCTCTTTAACGAAATATACGAGATAATTATTGAATAACATAACATAACATAACATAAGGACAACAAGAACTTTTCTTCTATGTCAATGATGTCACAATATAATTATATACATTTCCTTTTATTTCTTGGAATTGCCTTCCGTTCACTCGTATGAACGTATTATTCTTATGATAACCCATCTCTACTTAAAGTTATTCAAAATGATACATATATTGACATTTCAAACATTTCTTATAGACTCCTTCTGTATACTACAAACGAGTCCGAGTATCAATTTTAACAGAATATGGAATCATCAAGACTCCGTTACATCCACTTTCGTTTAACAAGTCTATCACATGTTATCAATTCCATTGTTAGAACTGTTAGTTAAATGCCAACGGCCGTGATAGTATTGTATTTAAAATGCAATTTTCTATTTTTCGGCACAGTATCAGAAAATACATGTATTTTATCACTACGATTCAAATTTATTTATCAGTGGAAATCGATCTCATTTTCCCCATGCAGACGTAAGTTGCTTATTGAGTAAAAAGTCAAGAATTTTCTTTGCACACAAGATTTCACAATTTTATTCATGGAACGTAATATTTGTTTTAGCAAGCCGTAGACTCCATGTTTAATAATTTTCATCCAAAGTGACGACCTAACTATTAGTGTATGGTGTTGTACTTTTAAATTCCGCGTCCATGATGATGTCATTTAATTCTGACCAATAAATGAATAACTGAAAGAATGAATGCATAACCTAGCAATTATAATTATTGACTTTAGTGATTACTATTATTGTATTTCACTGTAGCATTATATAAACAGTACACCTGGAGAAATCGATCTTTAATATATATTTGCAATAACACATACATTAACACATTTACATTTAATACACTTACACGATATTGTAAACATATAATATTCATCATTTTCTATTCTAAGAGAATGGACATAAATATATGTAGCGTCTTAGCAAGAACAAGTGCTAAATTTGTTGGAATTGTTCTTTTATCACTTCGTTTAACATAATAATACTTTTCATGTACATTTTCCTTAAATCAACATAACATGGGCAAATCTAAATAAAATGATATTCGTCTTCAATGTCGTGCTTATCACAGTCTATACAATGACGTTGATTTCATCCGATTTTATATGTGCCGTATTGGCGTGTTTGAATTTTTTCAAAGAATGTGAAGACAACCTTGTGTTAGATAACATCTTAAATTAAAAGGCAAAATATCCAAGTACTTTGCATACTCAAAATCACGTTTAACATGATAAGATACTTCTTATACGAGAACCTGAAAAAATGTTCTAAATAAATTAATACAGCTTTAACCTATCTGCATTTCTTATAGAAGAATAGAATATTCATTTGCTTATTGCTCCTTTAATATGAAACTGTCAATAGGTCTATGATTAGACAGCAAAAAAATAGCCACAATTACACTTTGATTGCTTTTTCAAGGTCTTAGTTTATCATCTTTCATAATTCAAAAATAAGTAAATCAGTACACCCTTTTTCCTGTGCGACGTAAAGCCTATCTGACCTATTACTGACAAGAAGTGATTGTGGCTTAAATCCGTCATCTCTTGTCAGAAGTTCATTCCATTCCCCTTCTCTTGAAACCACACGCAAGCATTTGAATCCACATACATAGATTGACTGACTTTGATCAGACGCTATACCATATGGTCCACACATACTGTCATCTATATATGGAAAATATCTTAAAACTTTGCCAGACATATCACACGACTGTATGCAGTGCTTTGAAAGAGAACCAAAAATGATTTGATTATCATGTGTAAGGTTTATACTCTCAATGCAGTAACCGAAAGAAGCAATGGTTCGCACTAAATCCCCATTTAGCGACCAACACTGAATGCTAGCATTTTGAAAATTATTGACAGCCACTATCATCACATTTTCAGACTTATGATATCTGATTCCTCTGGGACTCTCCACTTTTATAGATGTACGCTTACTTTCAGCAATCTTAGCAATCTTTTGACCGATAGTAAAAAATAATATCCTGTCATCATATGAACAAGTTATTGCTATTTCACCATTTGGCCTATCATAACTGATAAATGTGATTCCCCAAGGTATCCATTCAAGCTGGTGATATATCAGTGAATATTCAACGGAAATCATAATCAGTTTTTGGTTTCGAAAATCTACAAGTATCACTGGAAATGTTTCATTTGATGGTGTTGCTATATCAGTTATGGAGCACGTTTGATTTCCCCGTGCTATATTTACCTTTTTAAGAAGCTTAAGTTCACGTCTACCTATTTCCCTTTTATGTTTCTCGACAACCAAGTTTTTCGAATCAAGCAATGGGTACTGTGATTTATAAGAAACACGTAAACGCGGCAGACCGAAAACTCCCTTGAGATCTCTGTTGATGTTGTCTATTTCGCACTCTCCTTCGGTCATTGATATGTATCTCTCAATTTCTGATAAATTGGTATCCTTTATTAAGTCTTTTTTCTGAAACCGTAAAATATTATATAAGTACTCAAAATCATAATAAAAAGTAGACCAATTTATTACATACATACTTATTTAGAAATATTGATGAAATAAAATGCGTATTTTAATTTCCATATTTTTACCTTAAAATGTTATTTTTTCAACACAGTCCACCGCACATATTTTCCGTATTTTTACAGATATCTTGCGGGACCACTTTCATCTAAATTCAGCCGAAATAAAAAAAAATTAGGGAAAGTCTTTCAAATCATAATGTCAAAAAAATGTAAATAATATACAGAAAATTCAAGTTTTTTCTATAAATAAATAATTTATTTTTATCCTGTGGTATGAAAATTATCATATTTCACCATTGACTACCCCCACATATGAAATATTTATTTTCACTCAATAAAAATAAAGCCTTTATTAATAAAAAAGAAATATTTGCTATCTGTCAAAAATATGTCCATACAAAAGTCAATGTATGAAACCAATTCAAGGAAAGTTCAAAGAATAATTTGCCTGTTTGGATGAAGTGCGACAAATGTATACACAGTCAGCATTATACTAAATCAATGGTTGAATACATAACAATCACTGATCTCGTAGCAAAACTACACAAGTCATATTTAAGTAATATCGGGACCGTATCACGCTCAATTGGAGATTGTCTGTCATGTAATATCTAGGTTAAAACCTGAAAGCAACAAAAATTGAAAGATTCTCTATATAATTACATATTTATCATACCTTTTTAAGTTTCTGACATATATCGAGCATCTCCGTCTGCCTATTCTTGCTTTCCTCTCGAAATCTATAAACCTCATTGTTTAAGCGTTTTTCTGTTTCGTATAAATATGTGTTAACTTGCTCTCTATCTAAACGGATTTGTGACAAAACCTCCTCATACGATACATCAGCTCCTTCGTTGGCATTTGTTTCTTGCTTTAGTATATACGCTGCTTTATCTTCTACATATTGGATTTTTGAAACAATCCGTTCACTTTCAGAATCATAAATATCATGAATGTTATCCAAATTATCACAATGTCTATGTTTTTTTAAAGCACATTCGCTACAAACGATCACTTTATGAGTTTTGCAACGATATTTTAGATCATCTAAAGGGTGTAAAGAACATTTTGTACTGTATACCCTCGTTCTCCTTGGAACAGGTGGGGGAGGTTCCTCTGTCATACATTTATCACCATTTTCACCTTGCTGCAAAACCTGGTCATCAAAAACATTATGTTTATATGAACCTGGAGGGGTTGGTGCTCTGTCTTTTGACGTAATGGTCTTGTACTCAATAAGAACGTGGTCTTTAAAAGGCTTTGGTCGAAGATGATATTTGTAGCAAGCATCACACAAGTATTCTCCACATGTTGTGCAATATCCGTAAGCTTCATGAAGAACATTTTCGTCTTGGCAGGGTTGGCATTTTCGCTTGACCTTATCATCACTGCTCTCCTTACGTCCTGGCACCTCCATATCAATTTTTTTAACCTTAAAAAGTTTAAAACATAATGTAATTACAATTTAAAGTCTGTAGCTTGTTTTATTTTGATCTAGAATATTGTTTAAGTTTGATCTTGTATATAAAATTCTCAATACATGTTCGTTCGTATCTCATGATATTTTTGTTTCGACCATCATTCTTTGCACTTTAAATGTTTTTTTCAGACAACCTTAACCAGCGTCCTAACTCATAACAACTGTCTGATAAACATGATGTAAATAATGCAAGCGTTGAATTATTTGATTATGACAATTATTCATTCCTGTATATCAAACTCCTCACATTACTTCTCTGGATGCAAACGAATAATAATATATGTCATATGTTGCAGTTCGGACCGAAATATCCGTCCCGAGGGGACCCGCCCATTGCGTGGTAACGAGGCTTGCCGAGTTACCGACAATGGGCGGGTTTCTGAGGGACGGATATTCCAATCCGCACCGCAAACATATGTCAGATATTTTTTCTTGTATATTCTGCCATATTATTTCATATTTAAAATGGTTTACCTCAATATGAAACATGTTCATGGAAATTAAAGTAATGTCATCCATTATTTTCTTACAATAGCGTATAAACTTACAACTTAGATAACAACGGCAAATGACGCCATCCTAAGCATTTATTTCCCTTCTTAAACGATGTCATTTTAACGCGGTTCATTCATAAAGTGCGCTAAAATGACGTTGTTGTTTGGCACGCGACTCATCTGGCACCCCCCCATGCCAGATGATATTTTTCCGGCATGGGTAAAACTCACGGAAAGGCCAGTCTGCTATGCAAGAAAAAAGTAAGGACACAGCTTGACACTTCAGACAATAAGCCGTGAATAAAATCATGGATTTTCCTGTTTATGCTAACATGTTTCAATATTTATTGAAAGTTAATGATATCTGAGGAATTTTGACGCTGAGGAGAGAATAAATAAGAATAGTCTTTAAATTGAGTTTAATAAAATAAATAGATAAATTATCCCTTTTTAGCAATTAAAGCAAAATATCTACATCATTTCAGTTTAACTACAATAAAAGCGATGTGAAATAGGTTTATACCGATATTTATATATTTTATAAAGTAGTAAGAAAGCTCACATTTTCGTTATCTATAAAAAGCAATATCTAAATGTCAAAGAACATTACCTTATCAGAAAATCAACACAGACATGTTCGAGTTAAAATAAATGTAAATCTAATTTCGTTTATTTCTGGAAAAGAAAAACCTATTAGATAACTTGGTCTTGATTACTGGTTCCAGAAGTGAGTACAAGCCGGGAAGCTGTTTAACTTAACAAAGCGAATTTGCTTGAAATATTTATTTAAATATCTAAGTAAAACATGCCTGTACTAATTTCATGCATATTTGCGAAATCCTTACTGTATTAGGTTAAGTAAAATATCTGAAAGACATTATAACGCGAAATAAGGCGTTGTAACGTCCAAGACAGACGTAAAACAAAACAAGAATAAATACCACGAACAAGGCGTAGAAAAGCGTTAAGGGGTCTAGTTATGCGTCAAAATGCGTTATAACGTCTTTAGCACATCAAGTCTTTATACCCCGTTTTAACATATAGCAAAAGAAGGATATATAGTAACGCAGATAAAGTAAAAGTTACACAAAATAACTACTTAGAACTTGAAAAAAGTATTTTGTAACGAGAATACATGCGTAATAATGAGAATGAAGGAGCAGCAATTCGGATTAACATTTCTTAGAAAAATGGAATAAACAAGAGCCACCGCCGGGCGGAAACAACGCTCGACCTTTTACTTTTCTAAAAGCAAACAAATAAACGGTTCAAACAATTCTTTGAAAAGAAAATTAAAGAAAAAAGTTATTCTTTTAATACGTTCGAAAGACTTGCGGCGTATATTGTTTTGCACCTGGTTGTTCGTCCGTCTGTCCGTCAGTTTCTTAACAGGCTTTCGTGTCCGTATCTGTATCTTTTGAACCGCTGAAGGAAATTAAAACAACTTAGCAGAAATGTTAACCATAATGAGACGATTTGTAGAGCGCAGGTTCGACTTTCCTAAGGTCCAGGTCACAATAAATCATTTTGTATTAGTACAAATTTTGTGTCCGCTCTGTATCTTCTGAATCGATAGAAAGAAGGCAGAAATATATATTATATTGAGACGATGTGCAGAACGCAATTCGGACTTCCTTAGATCAAAATTGGCCTAGACCCGGGGATTAATTGATTTATTAAGACTTATATAGGAGTTTTAATGTCCGGTCTGTATCTTTTCAACTCTTTGAATGAAATTGCAACTACTTGGAAGCAATGTTAACCATAATGATACAATGTGCAGAGTGCAGGTTTGGCCTTTCTCAGGTCAAGGTCACTCTTTGTGATTTCGTATCAGTTTCATAATTTTGTGTCCGCTCTTTATCTTTTGAACCGATAGAAAGAAATTAAAACTATTTTGGCAGAAATATTTTTATATTGAGACGGTGTGCATATTATAAATTATGACCTCCTAATTTCAAAATTGACAGGCTTTCTCTAATTGAAATACTGATATGGGTTGTACATGTTTTATTATACGTTTAAAACAATAAATATGTTGAAATGAAGACATATCAATAATTATAATAAGTTGCAGAAAGTTTAGCCCATGACTACCACTTCATTTTTGAATTGCCGAATTTTAAAAGCTTTAAATCAAGGGAGGTAATAAAGAACACATTTTCATTTGCCCAAAAATATTATATTTATGTGTAAGCTTTGATATTTTGCATGAAGCATGCCTTTTGACATCTAATTTTTTTATATATAAATCATGCTCAAGGGTCAATATTGGTCCTTCTCCAGGGGTCACATAGATAGAAAAACTTATTTTCATGTATGTATTCTTATGTAAAGTTACAAATCCCAGATCATAGTTATTTGGCATGTTGTATGACAAAGAAGAGCCGACAATTGTTCCAAAATTCACTGATATTAAATGGCTGTGCCCAGTGGGTTGGTGTGCGGATGTGTTCGTTCGCACAGTTTACATGTTTACAAATTTAAATCGAATACATGTTTCAAAGTCTACTCCTCCAATCTGCAACATGCAGATCATTGATTCTTTGCATTTAACATCACTTTGTAAAAGTAGAATTATCAGGTTTGTACAAATAACGAACATAAGATGGATGTTTGTGCGAGTGTTGTTGTTATAAATGTAAAGGATGGTTAATAGAAAAGAAGAACATTATTTGGAAGCAAAGCATTTGATTATTTTTTAAGCTGATATTTTTTTGCATTTGAACTTCTTGTATACTCGTATATATACTTTTATTTGATTTTTTTCATTTAAAACCCAATAATAACCCAACATTATTGTTGTTTTCAGTCAGCATATATACTCCGTGTCAATTGCATCGAGGTACAAAATCACCATTGTGAGTTTCGAAATTAGCTTTCTAAGGGCGTTGCTGGTGACATGTCCTGGGTCTGTACTCCACAGCGATAGCTGTGGCATAGCCACATATTACTGTCACTAAGTATTTATGTGACAATAACATAGCTCTTTTGGATGTATCGATATAGATATTAAAAATCAGGCCCGTCGTCACGATTTTGTGATTGGTGAGGCCAATTTGATTGGTTTTAGGTAGAACCTAGGGGGGTACGGGGGCATGCTCCCCCAGAAAATTTTTTATACTAGGATGCTCTCAGGGGCGTTTTCTCGTATATTTGGCACAGTTTACAGCCTGCCGCTAGTACATGTTATAGTAATATGTCAACGATTTTTTACAGATTTAAGTGCGTCGTAAGTTTTAAGGGTGAAATTTAAGTTTCGCATGACGGACGGACAGGTGTACATATGTAATTGATATTTGGCAAATGAAAAATAAACAATAACTGACGTTATTGTAATTCTTTAGATACATTTTTATCTGATGATTATATATAAACATATGTACAGAAATATTACAGTACGTGGATTATTGTTTAGCATAAATCACACAATTGTATAAGCTTAAATAACAATCGATGACATGATGGAAGAATAGTACATAACGAGTCAACAATAACCACTTTTTGTTTAGCAGTAACTTGTGTTTTGTTAACAATAATCTTACACAACACAGAGTCTCATTTTATGTAAATTTTCCAAAAACACATCGCCGTCGTTCTCTGGTAGTAATGAACTCATCGGCAATTACACGTAAGTCGAGTAGATTTGTCCAGTTAACACCATGAGATTGTTCAAACGTACTTGAGACATTATCGATCTAAGGTATGTCTTAATTCTTCTGAACGGCGAGAATGTCCTTTCTCTGGTAGCATTAGTAGCAGGCATTACTAACAAAATCCTTAACAACACTACGACGTCAGAGAACAGTGCTCGTTCGAGCACTGACTGTTCTGACGGACGCAAATTTCAAAATGTCGGGTAGAGTAATAGTACTATTTTCTTATTTGTCAAAATGTGAACGTAGCAGCTGAAGTTGCACCTCTAAGATGTCTTGGTTAATATCGTTACCATAGAAATCACAAACAAAACCAAGTTCTCTAGTGTACTCGGTCTTCAAAGGTTGTGCGGCCTTTATAAGTAAATTCTCCACGTACGTTTGAAGTATGCGATATCCCGGTTGGTCAAATCTCTCTTTAACACTGGCGGTGGCAATATCGATTGCTTTTCAAAGTACTTAGGCAGGAACACGTCCTGCACTGTAACGGGGTGGTAGCCAACATCGTGCCCCATCTCGAATCGTGTGGGCTCCTTTCTCATTCGAGGAACATTTGGATCGTTAACACCGACGCGATCACTCTCACTTTGAAGTTTAATCCATAAAGAATCAAAACTGTCGTCTGATCTCATGTCTATCAAACTATCTAGAGGCCGGTTTGCTAGCCGCTGGCCCTCGGATGCTGAAAATGAAACTTGTTGAGGAGATTTGCTGAGGTTGTCTGTCAATACTAGGATGTCCAGTTGTTTCTTCGCGTCATGTTTGTATATTACCGCGCATTGCATAAGGGGCAAGTTAAGTG